TCTTCAAGCTCCAAACTCTCTAGTCCAGGAGTTCTCAACTCTGGCCCTCGAGCTCCACTTTCCTGCAGAGTTCAGCTGCTACCCCAATCACACACACACCTGAACAACCCCAATCACACACACACCTGAACAACCCCAATCACACACACACCTGAACAACCCCAATCACACACACACCTGAACAACCCCAATCACACACACACCTGAACAACCCCAATCACACACACACCTGAACAACCCCAATCACACACACACCTGAACAACCTCAATCACACACACACCTGAACAACCCCAATCACACACACACCTGAACAACCCCAATCACACACACACCTGAACAACCCCAATCACACACACACCTGAACAACCCCAATCACACACACACCTGAACAACCCCAATCACACACACACCTGAACAACCCCAATCACACACACACCTGAACAACCCCAATCACACACACACCTGAACAACCTCAATCACACACACACCTGAACAACCCCAATCACACACACACCTGAACAACCTCAATCACACACACACCTGAACAACCTCAATCACACACACACCTGAACAACCCCAATCACACACACACCTGAACAACCTCAATCACACACACCTGAACAACCCCAATCACACACACACCTGAACAACCTCAATCACACACACACCTGAACAACCCCAATCACACACACACCTGAACAACCTCAATCACACACACACCTGAACAACCTCAATCACACACACACCTGAACAACCCCAATCACACACACACCTGAACAACCTCAATCACACACACCTGAACAACCCCAATCACACACACACCTGAACAACCTCAATCACACACACCTGAACAACCCCAATCACACACACACCTGAACAACCTCAATCACACACACACCTGAACAACCTCAATCACACACACACCTGAACAACCCCAATCACACACACACCTGAACAACCTCATCAAGCTGAAATAGTGACCGGCAGGTGAGTTTGATCAAGGTGGACCTCGAGGGCCAGAGTTGAGAACCCCTGCTCTACTCTAGTCTTCTCGTGACGGGTCTCTTTCGCCTCCTGCAGGCTATAAAGCGTATAACCTTCCCTCGGACCAGCAGCAGATCATGACTGAACTGTACAGCGGAGGGCCGGTGGAGGCGGCCTTCACCGTCTATGAGGACTTCCTGCTCTACAAGAGCGGTCAGAAAGCACACGCTTTAATCTTTAACAATCATCTGCCGTGCACAGGGCTACACAGCATTACTTGCTCTCATCTCTCAGGTGTTTACCAGCACGTGACTGGCTCTGAACTGGGCGGGCATGCTGTGAAAGTCCTGGGATGGGGAGAAGAGAACGGGACGCTGTACTGGCTGGTGGCAAACTCCTGGAACTCCGACTGGGGCGACAACGGTGAGACTGTTACTGCATCTTGGGGGAAATTATCATTAGAATAACTTATAATAATTGTGATAGTTTATTAGTAAATAAATGCATTATTAATGAACTACAATGATGTATTATTGTTATCTTTATATAATTAATTTTTATAATTTATATTGTATTTAATAAATTACAATATATATATTTTTTAATTAATTCTAATAATTTATTATTACATAATACATTAATAATTCATTGTGATGATTAAATTATTATAATTTATTAAGAATGTATAATAGATTTTTTTTTAAATTAATAATATATATATATATATATATACTGTGTATATAAATATATATTTTAAATAGTTCTAAAATTTCTAAGTTCTGAGATCTTTTTTCTTGGTTGCATAAAATTATATAAAATAAATAAAATATATAAAAAATAAAAAAGTATGCAAAAAGATATTATATAATAAAATAAAGTAAAATAAAATAATATGAAATAAATAATAATTTAATAAAATATACAAAAATAACAATATAAAAAGATTTCTGAGTTCTTGGATCTTTTTTTAATGTTTCTAGTTTGCAGACCTAGAATAAAATAAAATAAAATAAAATAGTTGTAGTATTTATGAGTTTTTTTAACATTTCTAAGTTGCAGACCTAGAATAAAATATTTTGAATAAATTGAAATGACATGAGTGAACCATTTTATAAATATAAACAACTAAAACAAATAAAAAACACAATTAAAAAAAACATTAGAATAAAATAGTATTTCTGAGTTCTGAGATCTTTTTGATCATATCTAGATTGCAGGCAAATAAAATAAAATAAAATAAAATTATCATTATAGATTTTTTTTAAAGAATTAATAAATAAAAAATATAAAAATTTATAATATAGTTCTACAAATAGTTGAGTTTTTTTTAACATTTCTAAGTTGCAGACCTAGAATAAAATAACATACAATATAAAATAAATTAATTAGAAATATATTAATATAAATAAAACATATTATATTTAAATAAAGATAGTTGTAAATTTTACGAGTTCTTAATAAAATTATAATAATACATTATTATTAATATTGTGGAAAATGTTTGTTTTTCCATACAGTTCAAATTTTAGTAATTCATTAATAATGATAATAAATTATTATAAATATGATAATGCATTATTATAATTAATTAATTAATAATGCATTGATTAATAACAATTATAATAACTTATTATTGAAATGTATTATTAATGTTTTGGAAAATAGGTTGGTTTTTCAATATAACACAGATCTTATGTCTGGGACAGGGTTATTATAGGCAACTAAAAAACTGAAACTAAAATAAAATACAAAAAACATTAAAGCAGCACTATGTAACTTTATCTGTGTTCAAATTTGCTAAATTTATATAATGAGCGAGTACATCATGAATTAATCTTCCAAACCGCGTTTTTGTCTTATTAAGAATCACCACGGCACACTTATAATAAGTATATATTATATTATTATATTATATTATATATATATTTGCACTATTGTAGCCTGGTCACCGCTGCGGAGTAACACATACCTGCTTGAATCGCCATTGACATAAACTCAGAGAAGTAGATCCGGTTGGAATGTTCTTCCGCGGGATGTGTGCAGTTCTGTTTATTAACCGCTAGAGCGACAAAAGTTACATAGTGCTGTTTTAACTTATTTTATTTCAGCTATAGCTGACAAGGCAGCATTTCTCATCTCATTTAGTTGATCTTGATGTACAAACATAACTAAAACTAAAACAGAAATAAAAAAAATGATATAGGCATTTAAAAACAAAATGAAAACAGAAAATCTAAGAATAGCATGTCGCACAGCTGTGGGACTGCAGTCAGAGTAAATCTCTGTGTTTGCAGGTTATTTTAAGATCCTGCGAGGCCGTGATGAATGTGGGTTTGAGAGTGAGATGGTGGCTGGTGTTCCTCAGCTCTGAACAGATGCACATCTGGATTTACTCGACTGACTGCATGATGCACGATCATTTTAATGGAAACCATAAACAGAAATAAAACTCTATCTGCATGTGTCTCATTATTGTGGTTAATGCATTCTAATATAATATACAACAATTCATTAAAAGCAAAACTCTCATTGTGGTGGTAATGTGAAAAATAAAGTCATTTACATTTTAATATTATGGTGTTTTTTTATTGTACAGCCTCTCTAAAACAATGCTGGGCTATTTTTTTAACACTATAGGTTCAGCCTGTTGGGTCATTTTATTGGGTGATATTTAATATTTCAGGTGCTGGGTAGTTTTTCTGTCACTCAGCTGCTGGGTTATTTTTACTTTCAATAAATGATGAACGAATTATGAAATTAAGGTATGTATTACAGTGTATTCCTATCAAATTATTACTGTATACTCTTGAAAAAATGCTGGGTTGTTTCAAATAGCTTTCAGCTTTTGGGTCAAATATGGACTAACCCAGCTGTTGGGTTCAATTTTTAAATTACATTTTTAACCCAAAAGTTGGGTTAGTCCATATTTGACCCAAAGTTGGCTGGAGGAAGGGTGGAGAAGCTCATAGCTCAAGTTGCTTGAAGATTGCTTGAATTTGTTGAGATAGTGAATTGGTGGGTTTTTGTTAAATGTGAGCCAAAATCATCACAATTAAAAGAACCAAAGACTTAAACTACTTCAGTCTGTGTGCATTGAATTTATTTAATACACGAGTTTCACAATTTGAGTTGAATTACTGAAAAAAACTTTTCCACGACATTCTAATTTATTGAGATGCACCTGTAGTTTCTCTATAGCTGTGGTTTTGTTTCAAACATCTAGTTAAAAACAGTTCAAGATTATGAATTCTGATCTAAAATGCAAATACATAAAGCTAAAAGACAGCTGTATAACATAAACCAGCAGGAAAAACTCTGTTTGAATCATAAGTTGGGGCAATTTGTCACACTTGTTTTAGACATTGTAATTTTATTTTATTTTAAATGTCGTAAATGTATCAATTACAGTATTTATTGTCCAAAACAATACTTTGACGTCTCTGGATTTAAAAAAAATTATGATTTATAATTGTTTATATTTTGCATAAAATCAAATAATACAAATACTGAAATAAAAATCAGCAGTACAGTTGCAACAAAATAATATAATGTTTAAACATACATGTGTGTGTGTATATATATATAAAAGATTTTATGGATGCCTGCTATGTATAAAAGTTACTGTACAACAATAAAACCACAAAATAAATACGATCTACTGCAGCAGAGTCTTTCCTGCGGCTTCAGCTTTGAGTGTGTCTCTGGTTTGATCGATCGGCTTCCCCTCTCGTCATACACCATTAGATAATCCTCTTCTCCGCTTTCCCTCTCGCTCTATAATAATCACAATACCTCAGGAACATGACGTGACATATTTCACCTCAAAATCATTACAAAATATCTGAAAATGCATTTGATAATGTACAGAATTCAGTAAAGAGAATCTGTGGTTAAATGTGTTTATTTGAGCTCAGTTCGGCCATCTTGGCTCTGGCCACGGCGGTTTCTCTGGATCTGGCACAGATTCACCCAGCAGAGGAGCAGTGTCATGAACGCGGTTTCTTTGTTGCTGATAATGTTGTGTTTTTGTTTTCTGGATCGCAGGCTGAAGAAGAAGCGGCAGAGCCAATCAGAGAAAGCAGATGCAGAGCAGAACCAATCAGATTTGGAGTCCAAGACGCCAGTCATCCGTGAGCCTGCTCCTATTGGTCGATCTCAGGAGAGGAATGCGGACAGAGCGAGAGGATCAGGTGAACACATTGAATCTACATAAATTAGGGGTTTTAATGAAATTAATCAATTTTTATGGAAAATCTATTTTGCATTTTCTTATTTAGTATCTATTTTAAATCTTAAAGTTTCAAGAACAGTTTTGAGTAGGGCTACATTATTAATCAAAATAAATGGCCACATGGTTTAATTATTAGATGGCAAAGGCTGAGTTTTAATTAAATTGCGTACATATGAATACCATCTTCTCATACTTATCAACAAAAGAGAAGCTACGGTTACGATATCCATCACAATAAAAGTTAGGTAGTTGTCATTTTTAAATTAAAGAACTTAATAATAAATAAATATTAGTTTATAATAATAATAATAAATAAAATAAATCAATATTAGTATAGTAATTTTACACTTCTAATGTAAAATAAAATAATGATATTATTATTTAATACTAAATTATTATAATATTTCTTAATTTTATATTACAGTAGTAATATTTCTTATTTTGATTTATAGTAAATTTAATATTTTTATTTAGTATTAATAAAAATAATAATAATGAAAATTATTTTTACTATTGCTATTATATATCTTTTAAATATTCAATTTCTTATCGCAGTAGTAATATTTCTTATTTTGTTTGAGTAGTTCTTTAGTAGTTTTTTATTTATGTTTTAATTTTAATTTTTGTTTTAGTCATTTTGTTATGTGCTTTTGCCATTTTTATTTATTTACGGTTTTAATTTAAGTCGTTGTAGTGTTTCATCTTCAACTTTTTTTAATTCAGTTAATCGCCAAGGCAACATTTCTAATTTTTGTTTAAGATTTTAAGTTAAAATTTTCAGCTTATTTCATTAACTATTATTTCAGTTCAATATTTATATAGTTATATTATTTTATTACTATTTATTTTATTATTATTTATTTTATTATATATATATATATATATATATATATATATATATATATATAAAAAAAAATAAAAAAAAAAAAAAAAATATATA